CTTGTTTAATCCTCTGTTGGGTTCAAATGTAGTTCCTCTATGCACATGTACTTTTTTTCATCAGGCTTAGAGCTTAAAGAAATCCAAAAATTAGTGTCAGTCAGGAGATGCTTATTTATGCATCGCTGCTTTAATTTTTACTTTAGATTTAAAATGGAAATTATAAATGAATAAAAACATGTTTTTGCTGTATGTGTTTTCATTTTCTCCTTGTTTGATTAATTTAAAAAAGAAAGAGTCACAAGTATCTTATTATATCAGGGTGATGGAAGCCGATATACTGCTTAACATTATTGTTTACCTCTGGGTAAATGTGTGAAAGTGTATTATATTGGAATGTCGGCCTTATGTGATTCATATAACACATCAATGTCTCTTGGTCAGTGACATGAGCCAAAGATGTCCCTAAATGAGTAACACTAATCAAGGTCAGATATACATTTTGCTAAATGCTTTTATGTGACAAAAATGACAAAGACAAAATATCTCTGGTTAGCTTATAATGTGTGGTCTGCTAGGGATTTTCTCAAATCCAGCTAGTCTTGTTTTGATTTTTTAAAAGCAAATAATTCTGTTACATTTATTATATTAAAAGTCTATTACTGAGTGTCCGCTGAGATGGAGCCAGCTGCTTCATGCATGCTTTCTACTCTATTCCTGGTATTCCTGTTTTTCTACCTTGGGCTTCCCCTGGAAATCTGTCAGAAATGGTGAGCTATGACCACGGTTGCCTGTAATAGAGTTGTTGTCATCTTTTGTTGCCTTTCCTCCAGTGTCTGTTTTGCATCAATTTTACACGTGTGTGCGTGTGTGCAGACTGCTTTGGGCCATGCAAGATCTTTGTTTTATCCAGAGATTTAGAAAGAAGAGGCTAGACCGAGCAGGAGGCTGAATTATGACTGGAAGGAAAAAAAGGAACCATTCGGACTATGAGCTGGCACAGCTCTGTTTGTTGTTACTAATACAAAAGATGTCATCTTTGGACTCCCTGTGTTAGAACATAAGCTACAAACGGAGTCAGATAACACACACAGAGATCCTGGCTGAGATCCATAACACATACAAATGCAAACAGTTGCTCGGAGAACGTAAAGCTTGAAGAGATCCGTCACCAGTCTCCCCTGTGGCTGTTTCTGTGGAGCAGTTCGGATAAACACTCAGAGTTGGCCGGGTGTTTGCAGTGTTCACTGTGAGCTCGGGGAATTGTGAAAGATTAATTTGACTACTTATTTGGATTTAGCTCTGTTCATGCTACCTTTCAAAAAGTCCAGTACAAAGTGTCTCAACTGAGTTCACATCCAGGCTGACTTTAGAGCTCCTCTAAATGCACTATATTTTCTTCTTCTTTTTTTCATTCAGAGAACATAATTTTATTTTTAAGTAAACTTCTGCTCAGTACCATGTATGTTTTTCTGCTTCAGTCATTGGCCTCTTGAATTTATGACAGGAACTACGTGGACCTGAAGTGAATGGAATGAGGGCTGCTTCGGAGAGGAAGCTGTTGGACTTATGGATTATTAATAGGGATAGTGCACAGCTGAATGAACACTGCTTAACGAAGTAGTCATATGAAATGTAAAGACTGAAAAATACTTTTACAAAAAACACAATATTTATACAGGTTTTCTAAGTAAAAGGTATTTTATTATCTCTACATCTGATGAGCCTGTGAAGCTACTGTTGTTGAATAACATTTTTTAAGGTGTGTGCTTTAAGCTTCACACTGTGTCTGGAGACCCTTACATTGTGATAAGAAATAACTACTTCAGTCACTGCTCAATAGTGTCATTGAGCCCACTAATTGAAATACATGTTTTGATAAGCTTCTTTCCCACTGAAACTACTGGGTAAACATATGTTTTTCAAGCATTGGTCAACCCACAAACATTCTACATTTGGCTCCCTTCCCGTTGGCAAAAGAAGCTGGGTTTAACCCCTTGCTGGCAAGCTGTGTGACCTCTGTTCCCCTGCAGCTGCATGTCTGGTTCCTCCGAATCCCTCTCCCTGCGGCATGTTTTACGAATGTAAACATTTGTTTTGATTGGTTAGACTGGACATGGCTGGCGCACTGTGTTGACGTCCATACGTTGCGTTCAATGGTGTCACGTAATTTAGCGGGCAGAGCCAGCGCTGGTGTTCCCACAGTATCCCGATCAGAGCTGAGGCAATTTTAATGAGTCTTTTGACCCGGGTAGGCGTGTGTCAGTTCCTGGGTTTAAACAGGCTTTTCAACCAATGGAAAAGGGGTAATAGACTAACTTTATAGCACCTTGTTTATGAAAGCAGTGCAGGTACTTGGGAAAAAAATTAAATGTTAAGTAATTTACTAAAAAGATTTTCATTAGAAGGAAATATTGTCTTAATACCACCTTTGGTTAACATTGCTGAGGTTGACATCTTATTTCTACCTTCCTTTTGCAGCTTTAGTAGAGCTTCTCAATTCATCAAAGCTGAATCGCAGCTTTAGTGTGGATAATAATCACCAGGGAATGCTTCGATGGAAAATACATTGTGATATAAAATTTCACGTGCCATTAATGCCATATACATAGTATATATTCAACCATTCAAAGTGCCTCCGACGATTTTAAATGGCAACACCACAGCTGAGATTCCTGAGCTCATGGAGAATGAGGATATTGTGTTTTTGTAGACAAAAATAAAATGATCAGATTTATCAGAATATCTTTCTTTAGTTTGCAATTATATATTCCCATGAAACAGTGCAGCCTTAGTTTCCTATGGAATCTAGACTGCATACCCTAAGTTTAAAATGTAAGATATTTCAAGTGAATTGTTTTAAACTAAACAGGGATTCTTTTAAATACTGTGGCCTTTTATAAGATGTAAGAACATGTATGCAAGTCTGGATTGAAATCTTTACTCCTAAATATATTGACTTTTTCAGACATTGCTATTAAATGTTGCTTTTTTCTGTTGAAACTAATCTTAAAACAATACGTTATGATAATTACACTATTAATTGTGATTAATAAATAAGTGAAATAATTGTCAACAAATTTAAGAATCAAATAATGTTTAACTTAAGTAATTAGAAAAAAAAAAAAACTGACTAAGAGCAGTAATTAAGCCAAAACTGTGAAAAAAATATACATTTTCCATTTGAGGGGGGAAAAAAACTTGTCCTTAAATATCTTCTATCAAGGAAAGTGAAATTTCTGGGCTTAGAAAATGAGTCTTATTTAATTATATTTTTCTGAAATGTTTGGATAATGTTGGACATTTAAGTTCAAACATTTGTTTACTGAGGTTTGTTAGTTAACTAAGAATATATTTGTCTAGATTGATTGAAAAATAACTAGCTAGTTTTCTCAGTTTACTAAAATAGATGGCTGCATGTTTTTTTCTCATCTCCTGTGAGCGGGGTGCATTTCAACACAACTAGACTTAACCACTATCTGATTAGAAGACTTAGAATATTCACACAGCATTACAAAGATTGGTTTCATCTGTCACCTTCGTTCTGTCTGATCTGGGCAGATTCTTTGTCTTAAATGTATTAATGCCCTTCAAAATGGATATGGAATAATTTTTTTTAAATTCTTGTTTTGCAGAAAGACGTGAGAAATATAGATGATTAGCAACTTTATCAAACACAAGTTTAAAAAAAATAGTTTCTCATTTAAACTAAACTTAAAAGAGAAGTTAAGCATCAAACTGTGATCCAGTGCAATACTGTCTCAGTCTTAACTGCTTTTCTTGCCTTGTGCCTTTGGTGACATTCAGCACTCTTACAGTGTGAGACAAGTTAAAAGAGAAATGAGGACAGGAAGAGGTTTGCACTGCAGACAAAGCAAAGACAGATTATTTGCTATTTGCACTGCAGTGTTGTGTATGGCTGTGTAGGTTTGTTTTTGGACTGTCAAGGGAATTTTATAAGTATTTATAGAAGCTTTTGCTCTATCTGCTTCCAGTTTGCAGATGGATCATGTTTCATTCATTTCTGTGAAGATTTCTGCAGAAAATGGGACTGAAAAGAAACTGACTGAAAATGCATGTTTAAGATAAATAAAAAGCATGAAAAGTTAGATAAGGAGTGATGAGTCACCCAGGATAAAACAGAGGGACATCTTTGGTGGTCAGAATCCTCCATGAGCTGATGCAAAGCTGCACTGCAGCAAATTGCTCCCACTGCCACTAACACAGGAGTGTGTAGGCTTGCAGAAAGAGATTTATGTTATGGCTGCTGTTGTATTACAAACCTAATACACTCATACTGTACGCAGACAAGCAGATTCAAGTCCCAGAGGACCAGGATGAAGACTTGGCTTTAAAGTAGGCCAGAGGCCAAATTTAAGGCTACAGAGATGCTCATACACATAAACTCACGTTGAATCATTCTCACTCTCCCTCTCATCTCATCTCATCTCAGCGGATTTTACAGAAATAGCAGATTAATCCGGTGAAGTGAGCAGTTCTGGGACTTTATCAACCGTCTATCCTTATTTCCATCCACGACCACCTCTCTTTGACATTTTCCTTTTTAAAGTCGTTGAAATTTCTGTAATTTTTGTTTGACCCTTGGATGCTTATTGAGCAATTGAAGATGATACATTTATGAGATGACAGTAAGTTGAACGGGCAATTTATTACCTTGCAAAGTTCACCATGCGGACTTTTCTGAGTGAAAGATGATGGATCTAACTCGGAAGTGCTGATACCACTGGAATCGAAGTTGGTGACATTCAGACTCAATTTAACTTTAGTTGGAGGGGACTTCTGCAGTAGTAGTTTTTACATTGTCAGGAAGTCTGCGGCTATCTTTTAGGTGAGGAGGGTGATTTGGGACATTGCAGATGGAATGAGAAACAATTTCTCAAACAGCTGTCACTATGCAGTTTCTTACTTCTAAAATATGTTTCCTTACCTTACTTTTTAGAGACTGCACACATCTTTAACCGTTTCTCTTCCCAGCATCTTTGCTATTTTCTTACGTTCTCATTGAAGCAAGTGTTAATTTTTTGTTTCATCTTTTCAAGGAGCATGTTTGAGTGACACATAAAAGAGGAAGTGGGATCCCTGAGGCCCCGGCCCTCTCTACCAGTGGAGCACCCTGCACATCTGGCCAGAGACCCCTCCAGTCATTAGGAAAGGTAGGAGTTTCATAATGAGTCAAAACATGATCAAACTAAACTTGATCCTTACTGATAAACATCTTCAGCTGCAACCTGTGATTATATGCAATGATAGACGAGATAAGAAATGGATAATGAGATAGATGAATTTCTCAATATGAAAAGCATGTTCGAAGTATGAGGGTCCCAAGATTCAATTCAATTCAGTTTATTTATATAGCGCCAATTCACAACACGTTATCTCAAGGCACTTTACAGTTCACCAGATCAAACAGTCAAATTGATTCAAAGTTTTCTATCTAAGGAAAACCAGTTGATTGCATCGGCTCATTGACTCGAATGCAATCTCTCATACTAAGCATGCTTGTAGCGACAGTGGAGAGGAAAAACTCCCTTTTAACAGGAAGAAACCTCCAGCAATACCAGGCTCAGTGTGAACGGCCATCTGCTAAGGCTGATCGGCGTTCATCTATAGCAGGATCAAAGATACACAAATGTAATGCTCTATTACAGCTCGTTATTATTTCTGTCATTAACATATGTACCAAAAATTAAAAGGAGAAACATCAAGAAAATGTTTAATTTTCAATTCTACCACCAATGTACTTTAAAGATCAGACCTACCTTGTAAGCATTTTGTCAATATTAAAAATTTCTTAAACCCCTGCCATCACTATAGTTTATCTGAAAGGAAAACATTGGCTGAATTGTGCTGGGTTTTACAATTTTTCCTCAAGGCTTTAAGATCCTACGTTATCAGTGATCTTTAATAGAACAACTTACAATAAGTGCAGTTTGAGATTTTTTTATTGCTTTCCCTCTTGACTGATAGAAACTCATTGGTGAAATGTATTTTGTCTACATTTGTAGTTCTTACAGGTGAATCTGGATGGTTCTTCACTGTGACAAAACTAAAAGCCCTATATTGCTTGGAAGAAACGGGCCCAGATAGAATATTTAATCATTTGACATTCAAATTTGATCACAAAACCACAAAACCTTTCTCAGCAAACTCACTTACTGGATGTTTTAGGAAACAAAATTAAAATGTTCTGGTTTTATCATAAATTAACAGCTGTTTCCTGAAAGAAGAGAGTGTATTTAACCGTTTTGGCTTAAAAACTGTTGGATTGGAAAATTCCTGAGATATTACTGTTAACATGATGATGGACTGGCCTGGCTTGGAAGTTGCACCTGCATAAAGAGCTCTGAGTAACACCATTAATTTGCCTACCCGGAGCAATGATGTCATAAGGCTTGGTGTTTTTAACTCTCTAAACAAACCATGATTATGAGACTGAAGTATTATTATGGCTGTCAGATCTGGTCCTGCCATCTTCCTACTGTCACTTAGCAAGTCTCTGCTCTGTAATTTACATCTAATTTGGGTGTAACATTTGCACTGTCACTTCCTATGAGTTGACTCAAGTCCCTCCCATATCATTGCCTTTTATTGCACCCAGTTCCAACATAACATGAAAATAACAGTAAAATCTGTTGCATAAGTTTCAGCTGTTACAAAGGTTATTAATGTCTTCTTGGATGCTTGAAATACATATTGATCTTTAGTGTGTATGCGTTAGGTTTATTCATACTACATTTATTTTTTTTTCAGTTGGTAAACATACAAATAATCCTAAGCATTATTCTAAATAGTGTCATCATAGCCTGCAGTTATTCTACCAAATGTTAAACTAGTGTCTGTTTTGCTCCAGCTGTTTAGATATTTAATTCCACAGTGCTATGAAACTTCTTGTGCAAATTTAATAAAACTAGCTAGAATTGGGGATGCAAGTTATAGATTATCAAATTATTCCAAAGCTGATGGCAATTTTCTTATAGGTCCAAGTTGTTGCTTGTATAAAGAGGACCTTTAATAACATGAAAGGCTTAATATGTTTTCTACAGTATTCTAAATTGTGAGATGGGTATATTTTAACAATTTATAATGCCAGCTATATGAAGAATTCAAGGATTTTTTTATTGTCATATTAGTTTGCATTTGTATGTTTGTGGTAAGAAATTTTGACTTGGGTCCTAGTTCAATAGGCTTGATATTTAAAAAATAGGAAAAAGAAATAGATGAAATTGAACTGAGTGCGGTTCGAGTTCAGCAGACGAACAACTGTAGGGTAGAAACGGTTTCTGAGCCTGGTGGTCTTGCTTTAGATGCTGCCCAGCGGTCTGTCTGAGTGGAGAGGTCTGTGCCTGACAGTCTGTGTATAGGATGGGTGGATTAAATATGGTATAGATTGCCTTTTCCCCTTGGTGAATTTCCAAGCTTTTGCATTTTTTTTAGAAGAGAAAAATTTATCTTGAGGTAAAAAAAAGAATGTAGATTTGACTCTCTATCCTTTTAAACTGCCTACTTGGTGCAAGGTTTTACAGTAATAGAGAGGAGCAACTGTCAAACATGCGAGGCCTGATGCATAAGTCAGCCGGATTAAACCATTCAAGCTGTATGTAAAATTATTTTGTCTATTTGTGTTGCTGGTGTCAGATGCATTGTGTAATTTCACAACCAGGAGGGGAACACAATTCAGATAGATGTGAGCAAGGTAAAACAGGAGCCGAGGGAAATAAAGACCTGATGTCTTAAAAGAGCAGCAGAGATAGACTGCTGTCATTCAGAGCAGCAGGAATGATTCAGTGGTTTCCGGGGCCTTTTTTTTTGGCTTTGATTTATGTTTTAATGCATTCAATGTATTCAATGTGTGCTTTTTTTTGGTGGAGAAACTCAATGGTGCTCTCTGTAATCGTTAAAGGAACACCAGCTGTGATAGTAATGTGTATTGATTTCAGCCTAAAATACTTTGGAGATTGATTGGAGATTGAAGTGTGCAATTCTATTTTGCTCCTAAAGCAAGTTTTTGCATTTGTAATCAATTTCAGCAGTGACTTTTTTGTTGTGGTGGGCTCTTCTGTCTTTTAAGAATCTTCTTTAACCAAAGTTCATTTAAATGAAATCAGTTTATTCTCATTGCACCACTTCACAACACGTCATCTCAAGTCACTTTACAGTAAGATTGGTTCAAAATTTTCTATTTAAGGAAAAAGTGCTTATTGATTATTTGTGCTATTACATTGTTTTGGAACATAATAAAATAAGAACTGTTGCATAACTATTCTACAAACTATAATGTCAGTATAGCACAGTTGTGAGGGTTGCAGCTGATGTGTTAGGGTGGCTATAAAAAAATGTCTGGGGGTTCAGCAGAAGGTGCAGCACATTTTGTTGGACAAGGTTTATTCTTAAGAGCCGATAACAAAAATAGTTCCTTGCACCAACCAAAATAACTTTTGAGTGTACATCTAATATCATACAATGATGGACTGCAATGGACTGATGGACTTGAGCCTATGAGTGCATTGGTGGAAAAACAAAACCAGATTTTTTCTCTTATTAAATATTCATAAACAGCAAATTCAAATCCACCAAATCAACGTATCGCCCAGCCCCACTTTAAATACGGCTTTTGCTACAAGTCTGTCTTTTATTAAAATAAAAGCAGAAGAATATGAAAACTGAGGAATCTTTCAAAATAGACTTTTATAATCGATTAAAGGACGATACAAGATTTCATTTCCTATACAATAACGATAATGCAGCTTAAAGTATTGACCGGTAATATTACAGAGCAGATACAATATTAGAATAAATCCTCCAAACTTTTTTTGCCTTTTTTGTAGTGTGGAACGTTACTAAAGGTTTGATCAAGTTATATTACTTGAACACAGAACAATAGTCAACAAAGATAGGTATGAGAACAACTGACCCATTTTTGTTTACTGTGTTACAGAAACTAACCATACTGTAAATGAAGTATTTAGATCAGCTTTGGACAGTATATCAGGGAGTTTACTTATATTGCATCAATTCTAGTACCTATATCAGATCGAGAGACCCCATTTTAACTTGATCTGTATCTGAGAGTAGCCTGTCATGAAAAAAGAAAAGAGTCATTCTTGGAACTATTTCTTTAAACAATATATTGCAGCTGCATTTACAGAGCAGAGACCTGCCTCTTGTATTGTTTATTGATCAGGGTTTCCAGTAAACATGCATGTCCCTACATAATCAAATTGCCATAACACTCGTTCTCATGCTGGTAAATCTGTCAGTAGTATTGACTAAGGTTGGCTTTGGTTTTATGCACCTGCCACTGCTTTGATTGTGGAAGCTAAATGAAGACCCCCTAAGTCTCAACTCAGGATTTATTGGCTGACCAATGAAAAGCAGCATAAATACTCAGAGCTGTTAACTGATTAAGTCTGAGGCTTTGCTGTTTTTACTATGGCTGAGTTGAGTCTGTGTTTTTTATTTATAGTTGGTTGTCAGCTAGAGCTGCAACTAACAACTATATGGCTAATCGATTAATCTGTCAATTCTTTTTTTGATTACTCAGTCGAAAAGTTGGATAGCAAAAGGCTCCTTAAAGAACACATTAACACCGGGGGAAACAAACTTTTCTGCTTGAGGAGTTCTGGATAAAGCATTTTGACTGATGAAATAGATTTCTCTTGTATTAGGGTTGTCAAAAGTATCGATACTCAAAAAAGTATTGATACTGAAACGAATCCGGATACAATACTTATTTTCAAAAGTATCGATACAGTGCTACCACCAGTGGCACCTAAACAGTCATTCATCTAAAGTGCAGAATAGAGGAAAATGCACTTTCTGAAAGCTGTATGATTGAATAATTCTGTGCACTTTTCAGTTTCAGACTTATTTTGGTAACGGGTGCAGCTGCTGAGAATAATTTTATTTTCTTAACCGGTTTGGCTAGTGTCATTGCTATGTGTGCAAAACATAGCCAAGGAGGGAACACTTAATTTTAATTTTGTAAGTTTTTTATCAAGCTTACTTAATACTATGCACAGCAAACAACCTCAAAATATTGTTCGTATTGTTTATTGTATTTATTTATTGTATTTTAATTATTAATTATTAATTAAAATATTTCTGTTGAAATTTGGAGTTTTTATTCTTGTGGTATCAAAAATGGTATAGAGTA